GTGTGTGCGTGCGCGTCTGTTCGTGCGTGTGTGCGTGCGCGTGTGTGTATGGTGAGTGTGATACTGGAAACTCAGGAAATCTTTTTTGCGAGTGTTTACAAAATTACATTATTAATTTGTACGCATAATCGTATCGGTCGAGGTAACGTGATTTTCTTTCATGTCCGCAGTGCAATGCCAACTACTGCAATAAACGCATGCTTATCGGACGAAGATCGATATCAAGCAATTTAGGATTATTACTAATTTATGCACATTACGCCTTTAATCAATGTTTCACTTTATAGTCACCTTTACTTTATCCTAATTGCGTAATAAAGGTGCTCACACTGATTCTATGGAATTAATATAATCTTATGCTTATAATCTAAAAGAAAGAAAAAATATTGTACACATGCTCAATTCAGTCAGTGGAAGTTGTGTTACGAACGCAGATAATTAAAAAAAAATTGAAGTAAAAAAAAATCCATACATTTATGCGCTTGTTATACGTGTTACCTATCAGGCGGAATGCGTGTTTGAGAGTTCTGCACAGCCCCACATCAGACTGCAAAAAGCCACCGCCAAAGTTTATGGAATGAATTTATCGAAAATAATCGACAAATATTTCGGGAAGCTAATTAACAGTTGCAAATTCTGTACTCGCATCTTGAGCCTATGAGCGGATTAAAAACAACGACTCTTATTCCACTTCAATGATTTCGTGGGCCCATGTGCAGTTCCCATGACCTTCGTATTTGGTACACATCCTTATCAGTATATTATTATTATTATTATTTTATTTATTTATGTTGCGCATTTTTACATAAAATGGCTCTTATCCCACTTCAAGGATTTCGTGCGTTCATGTGTAGTTCGCATAACTTTCGTGTTTGGTATACATCCGTCTCAGTATATCTGTATTGCAGGATGATAGGTCATCTCCCTCTGCAATGGCAGGCCATTTGGATAATAAGCATTCACCATGCGGCCAAGAGTAGCGAATTCTATTCAGGTGTAAAAACCTGGTTCTTAACATCGGCGTTTGCCAAACCCTCGTGATTAGGATGACCACGTAAAAATGGCGGACCCGTCTCCAGTGTTTGAGACGTAATAGTTAGTTAAAATAATCTGACAAAAGATGCCAAAAACAATCCTGATGTAGGACCTACGTGCGTGTGTGATCGTACGTATGTCGCGTACGCCTACGTTTTTATTGGGTCCCAGGGAGATTAAAGGTGCGGTAAATAACCGGTCAATTTAGTCTTCGCTAAGGAGATGGAACTGTATGCGACACCTATTTACCCTTGCATCGTTTTCCTGCACGCATGCGACATTAATTTTCAAGCGAAAATTATAGCGCATAAAAGAACCGAGTGCATTGAATAGGTGTTTGAAGTCGCACAACTAGTAAAATTATTACCGAAACGCGTATTTCTCGGCGAAATTGCAACATAAATTGCAAATAGTTCTTAATCCGGTAATGGCGCGCGGAAGGATACCCGGATCGGTGCCGGTTCCGTTTCGAAGTCACCGCTCTCACGCATCATTCTGTTTACATGTAATATATGCACTACGTCATCTCTGTGTTTACCTGTCTCTCGCCATCCCACATTACCTCCTCACTCCCTCCTCCATTCCTTGCTTCCCGTCCCTCCCTCCCCCTCCCCCGCT